AACGACAGAGTTCTTTTACGTGACGTATCATTCGCTTTATTGACGTGATCAGCAGTTTGTCTTTGTGGTGGTACATTCTGATTCGTTCTGGTTGTTGAAGATTTTCACTCGTGAGGCTTGCTCAAGGAGTTGACTTGTTTTCATTGGTGACGTCCGGTTTGCTCCGTTCCTTACAATCATTTGTGTTGCGCCTTATGCACTGTTCAGGTTGTTTAAAATCGTCATTAGTGAGGTCTCTCTGCTATGTTCAAGGAGTTTGCGAGTTTTCATTCGTGACGTGCCATTTGCTCTGTTCGGGCGAATGGCTGTTTGAGTGATATCTTCTGCTTTGTTCAGATGGCTTAATATCTTCTTTGTTGCTTTCTGCTCCGGCGAGTTTTGTCGTTGGTTACGTGCCATTTAGTCTGATTTGATGGTGGTGGAATCAAGCAGAATGTTGGAATCAATCGACTAAAACTGCAATGAGTTTATTTGCAGATTGTTAGTGGTATGGATATTTGCATCTCCCTCTGTGTTCACTTGTGACACCATTCGCATTTCCTTGCGTTCATCATCCATGATGTCATTTCCCTTTGGCCCTGTTCTGCTGGTTGATATTTGAGACGTCATTACCCTTTGGATCTGTTAAAGTGGTGGGCGTGTGTTCGTTTGTGACATCATTGGCTTTGTCTGTTCATTTAATTCGTATGTTTATTTGTGACATCATTTGCTATTTGATCTGTTCACGTGGTTGGCGTAAGTTTATTTGTAATGTCATTGCATACTCTCTGTTCAGAAGTTTGGCGTGTGGCAACACGTGCCTTCATTTCCATTTTTCTCTGGATGGATGGAATGCGTTCATTTGAGATGTAACTTGCTCTCTCTCAGCACAGGTGGTTAGGATGTGTCCACTTGTGACTTCATTGCCCATTTGATCAGATTCTGTGGAAGGTCACTTGTGATTTCTTCTGTGTCATGTGTGTGATCCTTTTGCACTGTTCAAGTGGTGATGGTGGGCGTGTATATTTGTGACGTCATTGCCCTTTTCTCTGTTCAGTTATATGGGCGTGTTTATTTGTGATGTCATTTCCTTTTGCTCTGTTCAGGTGCTCGGCGTGTTTATTTGTGACGTCATTGCCCTTTGTTCTGTTCAGGTGCTGGGCGTGTTTATTTGTAACGTCATTGCCTTTTGCTCTGTTCAGGTGGTGGGCGCCGCCGGGGAGGAGGCGCTGCGTGATGCTGCGCGCGACGGCCGCGTGGAGGCGCTAGCAGCGCTGCTGGCGGCTGGCGTGTCAGTTGATGCTGCAGACGGGGCCGGGAAAACATCATTGATTCTGAGCTCAGAGAAAAACCACATCGATGTCGTCCGTGAACTTTTGAAAGAAAACACCAACGTCAACATTTCGAATAATGAAGGCAATACAGCCTTAATTGCATCTTCAATACAGCTGTGAGCTGTGAGCTTTTGAAGGCGGGCGCTAATGTAAACACTTCAGACATTAATGGGTATACCGCTTTAATTAATACTGTAAGAGGAGGATATCTTGAGATTTTGCAGATTCTGTTGGCTGAAAACGCAGAGGTGAATGCAAAAACAAAAGAAGGACTAACGGCTCTCATGTATGCCTCAGGGGTGACAGTAACGCAGTGAGCGAGCTTTTAAAAGCGAACGCAAATGTAAGTATGTTGAGCAATGACGGGAATACGGCTTTAACGCTGTCTTCAGGAGATGGCCATTTGGAGGTTGTGCGTCTTCTCTTAGCCGCGAAGGCTGAAGTTAATGCAGAGAACAAACACGGAGAAACGGCTCTCTTGCTTGCCTCACAGCATGGCTACGCCAATGGGGTGCGTGAGCTTTTAAAAGCAAACGCAAACGCACACATTTCAGACAACGACGGGAATACAGCCTTAATACTTTCTTCAAGAAATGGCTATTTTGTGGTTTTGCAGCTTCTCTTGGCTGCGAATGTGGACGTGAATAAAGTAAACGGAAATGGAGAAACGGCCCTCATGCAAGCGTCATGGAATGGTCACGCCAATCTGGTGCGTGAGCTTTTAAAAGCGAACGCTGACGTAAACATTTCGGACCATAACGGGGATACAGCTTTAACGATATCTGCAAGAGATGGCTATTTGGATGTGGTTCAACTTCTCTTGGCTGCGAAAGCGGATGTGAATGCAAGAAGCAAAACAGGAAAAACTGCTCTTGAATATGCCACCGAGAACAAACACGACCTCATAAGGCAAGAGCTACTCAAATTTAACGTCGCTTCGAAATGATTATAATTAACAGTTCTGATCTCTTCGCGTACAGAAGACATTTGGTCGAGATGTTTTTCTTCTTTGTAGTCGATGTCGATTTTTAATTGAAGTCCTAAGCAGAAAGACATTTCTTGCCAATTTATTTTGGCGATCTAGAGAGGTATTTTTAATCTAAATTATCTAGCGAAAAAATCTGAACTTTAAAGTACATTTTGCAACTAAATCTGGATATAACAACCCATAACATTTAAGAGAAAGATGTAATGTTTTGTAGAATAAAATAAAATAATACGACAATACTTCTTTACATTTTCTAAAAAAAAAAAGTATATCTTTGTAACATGTTTAAACAAGACACGTTACACACAGATAGGAATGTGACAACTGACCGCTGAATAACTCCACAGCAAATCTAAATTTACCGAAGTTGTGATTTACGTGATGTCTAACGTATGACCGGTATGGCAGCTGCCTGGTTGAATGTCACTTCCAAAGGTATCATAAAAGTTCAAACATCTCCAAAGCAATAATTTTCACAGTACATCGCAGTATTACACTTATCCCGAAATTCAACAAAATAAAGGAGGATTTCTTTGTGACATCATTTTGCACATATTACTATGCGTATTTATCGTATACAGTGTTCGAAGAAGCGACAATTTCAATTTCTATTTTTTTAGAAAATACTATTTTAAAGTAGCCTTCTGCCTGAGAAACAAAATTCTACTCTTTTGGGCCTATTTTGTTTTCCCTTGTACATTTGATATCCTTATGCTTTTAGAGATGTAATATATTTTTAAATTATCTCCATTTCTTAATTAATAATACGCAAAAATGTTTTATTTCTTGAAACATCATAATTCTACAACAATCTAATATATTTTGATAATACTTTTTTAAATTAATAATATTTGAATATTTTAGTGAATGAACTAGGATGGTAAAGTTTCTGGGAAAACTTAGTTATCATGTTTTAAAGCTTTATAATCCTTGGCATATCTTAAGCTAAGGAAATACAATAGTTTTTGGAAGTTTATATAAAAAATCAACACAAAATCTTGAGTGATATAGTAGATAGAGAAGTACATTTCGGAAGAAGCTAGTGGTATTCTAAAATTGGCACATACTTTCACGTATTTGTTTCTATTTCTTTTGCTCTCAGCTAACTATAACTGCTAACGCAGTTGTCACATACTCTTAGCAACTGTCATTTATCGCTGCTGAAAGTACATTGGTTTGAATTTTTTTTCGAATACTTAATAGTAGAACGGAAATATTATTTTGTGAATATTAAAGAAAATAAATTATCCTCCTAAGTGGCAATTTCCTTTGAAAAATTATGTAGCCATTTTTTAAAACATGGCGTTTGAGTGCTAGTGTAAATTGGAAAATTGAATCATTTTCCAAACAAACCTATTGCGTTTTCAATAAACGTCATATGACGTCATTTCAAGCACATTCAGTAATAATTGCAATAATAATAAAAAAATTGGAAATATGCACAATAAATCCGTGAGAGATCTTTCAAAAAATATTATTAGTGTAATTTTTTAAAAAATCCCCGAAATGAAGTATATATTAAAGAGTACAATTAGAACTATCCGTCCGGAAATTTGAAGAAAACATTTGGAGTCGTATGTGTGCAAATAGGGCTTCAGCTTTATAAAAAATGCAGAATTTTCCAAGTTTTCACAGAAAACTTTTGAGATTTCGAGAAACAATTTCTGACAGTTTTAAAACGCATGTACCTACAAATACAGTAATGTAAACAATATGCAACTAATATTAATATTAATATTAACGGCGTGATATAAACGTAAAAAAATACATTTTTGTAATTTTTGAACAAAAAGCAATGAATGGAGAAAATGGCGTTTCTGAGATTTTATAGTGTACATTTAGCACTATCCCTAGCAAAAGTTTAATAAAAAGTTTGAAGCCGTTTTTGAGAAAATCTTGTTACTTGCATTTTTTAAGATATTCACATATTGTTTGCAGTATTGTGCGAAAGTTATTATCTTCAAAAAATGTACGTGACCTTAAAGAAAGAAGTCACTAAGAAAAACAAATTTTATTGAAGAAAAAATCATTATCTTTCAAAAAATGTAAAATATTGAAAGCTTCGACAATTCAGAGTTAAAACTGAAGTTGGGACCTATGCCACTTTTTTAAGTGTATGTTACTCTATTCTTAGAAGAAATTTAAAGATCAAATAAGGAGCTATTTTTGAGAACATTTTGATAATGTCCGTTGTGCTCGAGGTAAAGTACCCCCAAATTTTTAAGAAAGTTTTTTGGGGTCGCCTTCAGAGAATCCAGATCGACAAGGGAATATCATTTTTTGAGAAAAATAGTACGTATAGTTTAGGCAGTAATGGCGTTTCACAGACTGACAGACGAACGGACGTTTTACTATATACTGGTACAAGTAAACACAAAACACGTCATCACTCTTCTACATCCCTTCACATCAAGGTTTACAACACATTTAGACCTCGGCAAAACGTTAATAGATTGTTTACACTACTCGCATAAGATGTAATCATTATCGGAATGAAGATATATCCAAAAAAAGAACAGCGGTTTCTAAAACTGTTTTTATCATCACCACAAGCCAAAAAAGATAAACCAATACACGCCAGATCAAACAATATTCCGGGAGATGTGCCGTAGTCGTTGCAATGTCCACCGTTTCACTGAAGAAAGATTCCGAGTCCGTAGCCGTTCCGTAGCACTCTTCACTTCATTCACACTATTCACATGCAGGTAGGCGCTTCACTGACTTCAAGGTCCGCCGGCCAGCTGTGCGATAAGGGTGGGCTCTCTTGCTCCGAGGCTTGGCCGGGCGTGACGATGCCGCGGCGTCTGTAAACGGCACCCTCTCTTGTGCAGCGCCGGAACTACTTTCCGGCGGCAACTTCAAATGCGCGCAGTCGACCATACCAGAAGCATCTCTTAATAGGACTTTGGGTTGTTGCTGCGAGAGCGAATCTTAAATTTATAACTATCCAAATCATCCGCGTCAGTCGGCGTAAAACAACAGTGTACAGAGAAAACTTAAACAGTATAAGACAGAGGAACCTAAGGCTGCTAAGCGTGACGTCACAAAGATATCCCATATAAAAAGGGTTGAAATATAGGTGGCATTGTTAGTATCAAAAAGTGCCGAACCCAAAAAGTTTAATAGGAGATCTTAATTTTATAATAATCTTATCCTTTAGATTACGGTGGGACAAACGTTTTTTAGGACATTTTTTATGAAATACAAGAGCAACTAGGATGTGCGAGGCTGGTCGGGTAAATAATTCAAGAAATGTAACTTTAACAAAGTTATTATCTGAATAATGCTTAAGACCTTTATGATAAATACAGTTTTTCAAGAATTTCAAGAGAATGGACGAAGTAATCCTTACTTTCACTAACAAAAAAACATGGGAAGCCCAAACTACCAGTTGGTTTACGGGACAACCCTAAGGAGAGCAGAATTGCTAGCCTCTGGGGTCAAAACATAAATGACAAGAAAGGCGCATTCGCCTTTCCTACGTTAAATAAACCAAAAATAAATACGCTCTCCTTACTTGTTACAATCCTAGATATTACTACCTGCGATACGAAGTGCCTACATTAATATATCATACTGTGGTGAGCGGTGCTAACAAAGGTATATTTCACTTAAAAGCTCCGTGTTTACGTCTCCTCGCGTCATGAGTCAACGGCGCAGCAGGGCCAAATAACTGCAATATAACTTGCTATCTCCCGCAGTGGACAATCGTTTGGTATTGGCTGGAGAACCATTGGCTGGAGAATTACCAATCAGAGCAGCCTTCCGCTGGAATTCTCCTGGAGTCTGCGTCTGAATCCGACTTAGCTATTTACCTTGTGCCGAACATTCGTCACCATCGGGACTGCCACCCTAGGATCTTGTATTCTGAGAAACAGCGACAGCGCAGACCAGTACCTTAGAACTCCAATATAACGTGGTAGAAACCATTAGGGAGGCGCGCTTTTCTGCAGGAACTTCTTGCAGCAACTAAAACACGAACTGCTGCCAATGACACGAAAAACTAGCTTGGCTACTGCGTAAGTTCGCGGGTCGCAAGCAAGCCCATGTGTTACAAAAGATAGCGGCGATATTCCCGCTTTCTGAAGAGATTTCTTATATGTGTATATTATTAAAAATTGATTATTTAAAAGAGACGTTTCCTATTTCTCACAAAATAGCAAATTTTTGTGCGCGGAAGTTATCGAGCCTAACCTGCGACTGCACATAGCGATACTAGCGCCTCCCAGAGTAGCACCCTCGAGCTTTGTCCCCGGTTTTGATGGAGAGTCGCAAGGCCCTGCGCACAGACTGGTGCCGCGCCGCTGACGACAGCGCCTTAAGTACGCAGCCAACCACACACAACGTCAGAAGACTTCACGAGCCCGCGCGTCAGAATCCACGAGCCCGCGCGTGCCACCTAGAGGAGCTGGAACGCCATGTACGGGACTTGCATGTGGCAACGCCATCTGTCAGCTAGTCGGGTAATTAGTAGGAAAAAGAGAAGTGAGAAATTTGAAATTTACAATTCCTTTGGATTAAATTTTTTTAAAGGCAGAAGATCGCTTCTTTTAGACGTTACGTTACAATATAGTTGACTAAGAGCTGCGATTTGCATTAGACATGAATTTTGGCGTGCATTTTTTTACATAATTACGTCCAAATTTTTAAATTTTAAGTGCACTTCTTCACGTCTCTGTGAAATTCTCTTTCTGTAGAGACCTCTAGAGAGAGAGCGGAAGTTGGCGAGCCTAACCTGCGACTGTACCTAGTGATACTAGCGCCTCCCGGAGTAGCACCCTTGAGCTTTGTCCCCGGTTTTGATGGAGAGTTGCAAGGCCCTGCGCACAGACTGGTGCCGCGCCGCTGATGACAGCGCCTTAAATAGGTAACCATCCATACACGTCAGAAGACTTCATCCACGAGCACGCGCGCAGCCTAGAGGAGCTGGATGGCCGCAGGCGGGCCTCACATGGGGAAACGCCATCTTTCAGCAAGACGACGAATTGTAAGGAAAAAGAGAAGTGAGAAATTTAGAGTTCACAATTCCTTTGGTTTCAATTTTTTGAGGCACATATTCGCTTCTTTTAGAAGTTATGGAACGAAAGACCTGACTGAGGTCTGCGGGTTGCATTTGACATGAATATTTGGGTGCATTTTTCTTCATAAATACGTTCTATTTTTGAAGTCAAGGTGCAATTTCTTACGTCTATGTGAACTTCTCTTCCTGTAGAGACCTCTTTAATGAAGATCGGTTTCGTGGGAGAGACGCAAAACGTACGAAATGTACTGAAATAATAAAGGAAACGATTCTATCAGGTTTACCACGAGAGTTGATATCTAAATGGTACAAGTTTTTCATTCAGAGCAGAAACGAGAAACAGGGTTTGTAAGAACGTGAACAAAGATAAAATGGGAAATTTGTTCGAAGAATTTGAACCGCAAGGCATGTAGGGATGCTAGAATAGAATAGTATACACATTTGATCTATTGTTTGCTTATGAACACTTAAAAATATTATTACGAAATTTAGAGTTATTTTTTTACATTTAAAATTCATCATAGATTACAGTTTATGAACTTATTTTCCATTACATAAAATAAAAAAATAATATTTTTATGTATTTACAAATTTTTACGTATTCTCTAAATTTATATTATTTTTAATAATATAAATTTATCGTTATTTTTAATAACACAGTATTTGATTAATACGGTTAAGGATGTAACAGTGACATAATTACCGAATTCTGTTAGTTGACGATATTGGAAGGTATTTAAACTACAAAATTTTACCTCACTTTCGTTTCGATCCAGGCGACCATCTACGTTCATGTACAAGACGTCACCACTCCCGGGTAAATTTCCCCCTTTTTTTTTGCAAAATAATATAACTTTGCACTTATTCGTTTTTTATACCTTCGCCATTTCGAATGTGCTTTCTCAACTTTAATTATCAAGCACGCCACTCCTTTGTACAGTATCTTGGAATTTATTGGAAGAAGAATATGAAAGAATAATTTAAAAGTAAATTTTGCACTGAGGAAAGATAATTTTTTGGAGGGAATGGATTGATAATTTTTTGGATGAAACACAAATTTTGGAAGAACTGTTATAACCGTCGACGTATTTTTTGTGTTTGCATGTAAAAAATATCAAATACATTGGAATTTATAATTACGGATACATGGAAATGAGGCGCGCAGTCTGCAGACTGATGGAGCAGCATTGGCGCGAGACGGGCAGTAGAAGGCAGAAAATTTCACTCTGGTATCACTAGATTTTTCAGCTTTTCAGAAAGTAGCGAAGAAGCCAAAAATATTTTTTAGTTACATTTCATCTGTCAAGTTCTATTTACTTTTCATCTGCATTCTTGTACAGGTTTGTCCTCTATCTTGAAGTTTACGTCAGGAAGAATGTTTATGTATACGATAATTCTAACATTGTTCAGTTCATTTTTTGCCATTAATTCTAAAGCATTGGATTGAGACAAGAATAATTTCTCAGAAATTATCGTAATATGACGAGAGATTTTCGGAATTTAAAAGTTTCGAAATTTTGGAATGGGACTCCCACGTTTCCCAAAACACACTTGTTTCGACTGTACAAAAATTTTTGAAATTTGACTACATGGGGTGCTAATTTTACTACATGGATGAAACCTTCACTTGAGGATGTTGTAAACTACTAAAACGTTTTTGGTGTCGAGAAAATGATCAAAATCTGCCCAAAAATATGCCGCAAGAATGTTGAGTTTTGATTGGGGTGGTTTTAATTTTGGGCTCCTGTATTTAGAAATGCGTTACGTAGTTTAAAAAGGGGACACAAAGAAGACAAAAATTTGCATGTTATGACTGGAGAAAATTTTAGAATTTTGTCTACAATGTTGCTAACTATACTTTCCCAAATTTTTTAAAACTTAATTTTGGGTGGTTTGAAGGTAATAGAAAAATACTTTTGGATCACTAACATGCTCCAAGTTAGCACATGGTGCAAGAGAGTGTTTTAAAAAATTAGGATTTTTTAATTGTTTTTTCTCGTAGAGGGGTGAGTTTCGCAATTTTATAAGGTGGTCAACAGGACTCCAAATCACTTAGTTCGGCGGATAAAAATATTGAATAATGGGTAAGTGAGTGTCCTGGTATTACCAGCCCTAATTAGATTTTAATTTCTGGGTGTTAGGGAAGGTTCAGGAAAGTAGCCAAAATTGTTGGAGGAAGGCAGAAAACAGGCCAAAATTATGGCGCAAGTATGTTTCAGTTTTGCGAAAGTGCCAGCTTTACTTATGTTAAGCGCAGTAATATCTCAAACTTTTTTCTTCTTGGCCTATCTACGCACTTCCTTCGTATTCTACAATATGTATGTTTCTTAAGTTCATTAACTATTTGTACATCACTTCATTTACTCTTTGATATCCGGTCATATTCCGATTCCTAAATTAATTTTATTATTATTTACGGAAGTCTCTCACTTGATCTTCACACAAATTACTAAAAATTAACACTCTTCTCCGTTCTGTTGTTATTATTCTTCCTTCCCATTATTCCCTCAATCTCTATATTTTTATTATGGTGGCATACATTGACGTCCATATTTACCTATCGAAACATGTTCTTCTATGATCATCTTTTTAATGATGAGTTGTTTTTAAACTCAGATAACCCATTACAACACAGATGCACAAAAATATCGCAGACGTCATTTGAACGACCTGCTTTTGATGGAACTAGCCTAACCAACTGATTCTTCCTATTAACGCGTCGCGTGCTGTGCCTCGACCTACGATCTGCCACTCTGCGACTTCGCGACCTGCTTTCTGGGAAAGGAAAAGCGGCCATCTCGGTCGCCCCTGCGCCAAGGAAGTCATGCGGCGCGAGCTCCTGTGGGCGCGAGTAGCCTTCTTCTCCGCGGGTGTAAATGTTAATATCTCCGGCAAC